GCGGGGGATTCTCTTGATGGCTATGGCCACCACCAACTTCCTGGTTATGACGTGAATTAACTCTTTGACGATCTTTACAAACACTCGTGTGCTCTTTACACGCGAGGCTATGGTGCCTCCTCTGTACCCCCTCTCTCTCTCCTACCGTAGTCTTCCGCTACACCTCGATTTTGTGTTTTTCCTATTGATTTGTTTCTCTATCAACCTTGCGGACAAGCTACAGAGCTTCTCGAGCTCCTGTCTATGGGCCTCGCTGCACCAATCTCGACATGCACGACCGACAAAAATCATGGCGGTGTACCTTTCCACATTCTAGGGGAAGATTCACTCTCGTTTTGCACATTTCGAGAGTCGTGCCGCGAGGCCCTATGTCTGCGCTTCCAGTCTAACCACCTACGGCCTCAACCTAGAGAACAGCATCGGCCGCTAGGCAGTACAATGACACGGCCTCTACTCAGGTATGGTCCTTTCACTGGTGACTCATCAACAGGTTTCTGGACTCCAGCCCTGATGGCTGTTGTAAGCGAAACCGGCTAACTCCGGGTAGAATTGTGAGGTCCCCGGCCTCAACTTGAGATTCTGTAACAAATGACACGGCCTCAAGACTCTCAATTTGATTTCGGGCTCAAGACTCTCAATTTGATTTCGGGCCTCGTTGCACTACTCGCCAAGATTTCGAATGTGATGTCCACATGCAATCAAAACATTGGCAGAGGAGGCCCTCAAAATCACAGAATCAAAGGTACAGGAAGATGGAGCGGCGTTAGCGGGCGAGCAGCGTTAGCGCTCCGCTGAAGGTCGTCGCCCGACGCGAGTAGCATGTTGGGCGCTACCGGGCCGTCCCTCCCGCCGACGTGACGGGATACGGAATACGCGCTGGGCTCTACCTCTTCGAGAGAGGGGCTATGCCCGCCCGCGGTTGTCGTTCTCCTGGTAGTCCGATAGGTAGAGTAGTAGTAGTGGGAACTGGTGATGGTAAACCCAGTTACTACAAGTAACTTACACGTGGTAAGTGAAACTATAATGGCTATTCGGTATGGTTAATCCAACTCCTGCGTGTAATATGTACACGTGGTGGCCTGCTTTCATCCACCTTGGCAGTGGCGTTCTGCCACCTACGGAGGTAAACCCCTGAGTAACCCGAATCCTCTCTGCAGGGGTAATGGGCGAGAGGTGATGGTGAATCTTTTCACTGCGGTAAGGTGGTGACCGGAGTTGTCCCGGAGGGAGCAAATTTCCGACAAAGCACAGTGGCGGATGGCGAAACCAAGCCCTTGCTGCCAAGTCGGAGCYAGGTCTTTAAGCATCTCTGGAGATCAGAGAAGTAGCGTATGGTAAATAGGGTTAGAGAGTCTTCAACTTGGTCTAAGCGCGGTAGATATTGCACAGACGCGCACTAGGGCATCGAGATCGGTTGTTGTCGAACCTACCACAGGTATCACACTAACGGGAGGGGGAAGGATCGACCGTGACAACTGAGGGGACTCTAGTCGTAATTCATGAAAGAGGTCGCAATTATGCACTTCGGGAAGTGGATGCCACGAGAAGGCGTGAAGAGTAAGTAAAGGAAGTGCAAGTTCTGCAGCCCTAATCTGGGGCGTGACTCCAGTTTTGAGAATACGCGGTAGTTCACAAGGCCGTATCTGGCAGGGAATACAGTCACGTGCAAACGCCCTGGTAAGTGCTGGGGGTGAATTGCGCAATGTGCTCGACAGTAGAAAGCTCTCCTGTGGCAGCCTGATTTGGTGAGTGTTTTAGAATATCGTGGGGGGGGTAAGTAGGCGCGGAAGATCTTGCATAAGTGGAACACGCTCAGCATCTGGAGGGAGCGAGGGGACGGAAGGCAGCCGGGAATGCTGTTAGGTGCATAAGTTCTTTAAGGTCCCTGCGATGGGCTGCACGAGGAGCTAGCACGGAAAGTACTTGTTCCTCAACCTGATCTTGGGTATTGGGCATAACACGGTAGTCCGGAAGATCAGCTGCGATAGAGCAAACTGAATTCAGTCGATGACACGGCCACGGGCAGACGATCTGGGAGGATGGTGGTGCGAATACGCGGGAAGAATAACATAATTCGTATATCCTGCAACCTTAGCTTGGCCTGTCGCATACGATTGCTCCGGAAATTGCCAGTCTAAGTTCTGGCGGTGGAAAGCATAGAGCGGGAGCGTCCAACAACTGCCTCAGGAGTCGGGGAGTCGGGAAACGACCACTCTGGGGCGTTAGGTGTGAATGGGAGAGGGTTGAGAGGAATTTAATACCACGCTGCTAAGCACCACCTACGGAATTGGGGAGTCGAAGACAGTGTAAGGTTGGTATAAAAGGAGGGGAGGCACAGCCGAACGTCACTGGTTGCTATCACGAAGGGCGGTTACACAAACAAGTTGAAGGGGCAGCCTAGTGAACACTTGAAAGCTAAAGGGTGAGCTATGGCGAACCCTGGGGGTAGTGGGGAGGCACTCCCTAACCCGCACGCAATCCCCAGTGACTGGGACAGAGTCAGGAACTCTGTTGAACGTTGCTATGATGAGGGGGTTTGCCCGCAGGAAGGAAATTTGGGTACTGTGGTGGAGGATGAGGAAGGAAGGCGTTTCGTGGTGAATGAGGAAGTGAACAAAGTAAAGGATCAATGGCTGAGGAAGAGATCAGTAATGGTAGTCTTCCAGGGGGGGGCAAGGAATCTGTCGAGGGCAGTAAAGGAAGACTTGATTAGAGCCTACGAGGATGGCTGGACGGCCAGGAAACTGTTTCAACCAGAAGCAAGGCGGGGAAGGGTCAAGTTTGAAGGGCAGAACGTCGCATCATATGTGGCTAAATCCAAGGACATAGCCACGTGGTTGATCAAGCAGAAGGAGATGAAAATTAAGCTTGACGACAATAAAGATTACATCGTGACGTTCAAACCGCGACTGTCGAAGAAGGAAATGCAAGACCACCGCATCCTGGAGGCGGAATCAAAGTTTTGGATAATGGCTCTGAGAGTGCCACTTGACGCTTACTACTTCTTGGGAAGTGCGGTTGTGGGTCTGTTTGGGGAAATCACGGAAATGCACCCGCTCGAATACGATAGAGATAGACCGAAACTGATGAATGTGAAGATCGACATGCCGGCCAGCTCCAGATCAAAAATTGATGACGTACTTGTAATTCAGTCACCAGAGGGGGAACGCTGGAAGGTGGACATAGTGACCCCATACACAGACTGGTGCCACCGCTGCAGGTGGTACTTCCACACGGAAGACAGATGCCCCAGAAACATACAGACAGAGGAGGGTCGCAATAGCAATGGAGAAAGACAGTGGGGGCACAAGGAGAGGTACAGACAGCATTTGGAAAGTCAAGGCGGAGGGATGCAAGGAGTGACGAGGGAAAACGCAGGCAATCACGCGTCACAACAACCCTCAAGAGAGGGACAGGGACGAATGGGGGAGGCGTCCAGACAGGAGGGAACCGGCAGGAGGACCAACTTGGGTAGAACAAGTGGCTCCAGGGGCCCTGCCCTCCGGGGCCCCAGCCAAGTGTTGGGGGGTGAGGCAAGGGAAGCTACTGGGGATGGGAGGGACACACACTGGTCAGAACGGGTGTACAAGGGTTCAAGAAACCAGCAGGAAGAGGAGCTGAGGCACACCCAGTTTCAAGTGGAGGAGACGTACTCAAGGCCACAGAGATGGGGGGAAGCACAAAAGATGGAACAGGGAAGAACTTTCACACATCCGTGGTCCATGAGAGAAGAGTGGACACAGAGTAACGTGCAGGGGCTTGTCAACGAGGCTGGCCCCAGTGGAACGCCTTAGGGTGTACTGGGTAATGCTCGGATGCATGCGCATTGGCAAGACGCGTATTCTGGGTATCAAGAAATGAGACCAGGTAATGGGTTTCAGCACTGCATTGCACCGCCTCCCCGCACGCAACAGATCCAGATTGAGAGGCCGATCCCCGGCTATCCTTCGGAAGCCTATGATTGGAGAAACTACGTATCGCAGCCCTCGGGCAGAGGGACCGCCTCCGTGTCATAGCAGATGGGAGGAGAGAGGAGGATCGATAAGAAGAACGCAGAAAGGATACAATGGGAGGTGGGAAATAGGCAAGGAGGATAGCTGGCGGAACAGAGGAGATACGTCGCAACCCTGGCGCCGTAACATGACAACTCAATGTCCGGGAATCAGGGAAGAGGGGGGCAGCAAGGGACACTGGGACGGGGTGACACCGGACAGAAGAACAAAAAAAGCAAGGGTGATCTGTCGAGGACGCCGGAATCATCCCAGTCAAGAATCAGGTAGGGAAGTGACTGCTTCGAAGACTATGGGGATACACGCAAAGCGGACGTTACATCTTCCGTGGAGAGTTCAGCAGGGTCGAGGGTTAGGAAGCAGACGGGCCTAGTCAAGTGCAGTGGAAGAATACCGGACAAGAATCAGTGTGCAGCCACATTGGAGAGGAACCAAATGGAAGCGGTGGAGAGGTGCTTAGTCCCAATTTTGTGCACGAGTTCTGAGGACGGGGTGAAGTTCCTATCTCTATTGAACACAGAAGGGGTTCCTCAGATCCCCTCCAAGGTGATCGATAAAACCCCAACACCGGCAATGATCATGGGTACGGTAAGATCACTGTATGGGGAACATGTCCCTGTTCGGTTAATACCGAAGTCCACAATGGCTCACGTGATAGTGGAGACTGTGCAGGGGTATAGCAAGTTGTATTTCCCGCTTCTTGATGCGCGGATAGCCCCAGAGACAGCAGTTGTGCTCAGCCAGACGGGAGTACGCAGTTTCCATGTGGACCTGCTGAGGGAGAGGAATTGACAGGAACTGGAAAAAATCCAGGTCCTGCCGGGTATCTCAGCCATGGTCCTGGTGAATGTCAATGAGAAGCTCATGAATGAAGAAAACCTCCTTTTCGGTTTTCTGGCGACCAGTTTGATTGAAGATTGGCGTTCTTCATCAGAAACAAGTTCTGCTAAAGGAAGTTCGCAGTGTCACTCAAGAAGCTCTATCAGAACAGGCAGCAGAGCGGCTTCCCGGAGAGAGACAACACTACCTTCCCGCATCCAAGACCAGGCGGAGAAAATAACAAAGAATGGAGAAAATTAGAGCGGTAACTTGGAACGTGCAGGGACTCGAGGATACCAATGCGAGAATGAAATGGAGGAGACTGAAGTCGTGGATTCACGAGTGGAAGGTTAACTGCGTTTTCCTGCAGGAATCTAAGTTAAATGAGACTAAATTGAAAGAGTTTGAGGTGTGGTGGGACRGGCCACAAGTGTGGTCCCCAACACAAGGAACAAGAGGGGTAGTAGGGATCCTGCTCCACCGGGACCTGCAGGCACACGTAATTGATACAGAGGCGGACATCTGGGGGAAATGGGCGTGGATGAAGGTAGAGATTGGAGGTGAGGCCTGGGTACTTATGACAGTTTATGCTCCAACGGCAGTCAGCGAGAGAGTCAGGTTCATAGCCAGGCTGATGACGCAGGTACCGAAAACGGACAGGCTGCTGTTAGCGGGAGACTGGAATGTGTCCCTAGACGAGGCTCTCCGACCAAACTCAAGGACAGCAGAATGCAACGACGTCAGGGCGCTGTTGGAATTCTGCACAGAGTTATCACTGACCGATCCATTCCCGGTACTTAACCCGGATGACCTAGGC